AAGGCATATTTGAAAATTTCAAAAATCTGTTGCCATGCTTTTTAGATACTACTTGAAACTCAATTTTTTCAAGCATCTAAATCACATGTCAACAAAGACCTTTTCTGTAATGGGCCAAAAAGGAAACTGTTTAGGCTTTGGGAGCAAATAGTTGTTTACTTCAGTAGCCAACTCGTCAGCTCTGCATGAAAGCAGTCCCACACAGTATGCAAATGAACGAGCAAGCATATGCCAATAAAACTTTATTTATAAAAACTGGTGGTTGGCCAGATTGAGTCTAGGAGCTGTCTGTGATTTGTCAACTCTTGATCTAAATGAAGTTCTAGAAGAGCTTCCACAGGAAAAGAACCTCTTAGTGCAGGAAGGAAACAGACTAAGACTAGGATCAGAATGTCTGAAGAGGTGTGAACCTTTACCTATAAATACTGTGTTGTAAGCTAATGTTACATTGATAAAAATAATAGTTTAAAAAACAGCCAAGTGATCAGAAAACAATTTTAAAATACAAAACAAAATTAGCTCAGCCAGTTAATCTTTTTATTTTGAGTTTTGTAAAAAAAAAAAAAAAAGGCTTAAGAAAAATGTGTTAAATATCAGTAAAGGGCAGGAAAACATGAGGCTAGCTTTACAATATCAATCTAAACATACACATAAAGGCAAACATTAAGTAAAATGCTAGGAAAGAGAGCACTTTGGGGGCCTAACTGCAGTTTCCTTATTGCACATAAAAGTTGCTGATACTCCAAGTCTTCACTTTTTCACAGTAAAACATACTTTAATATTATTTTATAGAAGAACATTTTTATTTATATAACATACTACAATGTTAACTTACAAAACCACCAGTTTGCTACTTTTGAATGTAAGAAGACAAAATTCTCTCCAATGAGAATATGTAAGCCCGCTATCAAAAGTACCCCAGAAGGTCACACCATCCTACGTTAAATCCACACTGTCCTATTAAAAAAGTTTCTTTTTAGCTATTAAATGAGTCTTGGTGGCCTTCTCATTTAATCATTTCAATGGGCATACATAGTAAAACTTCCTAAATAAAAAGTACCAGGTGTATTTTTTTGTAAAAAATGAAGACAAACTAGGAGGAGGTGCCCCTACTATGAAGCCACACTTGGAGTAAGTGACTTCAGTGATAATTCCAAGTTCATAGACTTAATATACAACACTACTGAAAATCATTGCTCTGCTTCTCCAAAGCCCACAGCTGGAATAATCACAAATCAATCCCCTGGTGACCAAGCAGCTAGCTGGTCACCCAAAACACTGCTTCTTAAGTTAACATTTGTAAAGTTTCCTAGACAGCAGATGTAGAATTCTTCATGCTGGTTACATGAACTTTTCTGAGCTCCTCCTATATATATATATATAGGCTCAGATGATTTTCCACTGGCCAAGAATCGAGCCCACTATGACATTTGGCAATTCAGTTAACCCTTTTACAGGGGGGCTGTTGGAATGGGGCGACCGTTCCCAAGTGCTCCTGCTTCAAACCTTTGCAAAAGGCAGCAGAACAGGCAGACCCGCTTTCTCATGCCCAAGGCTCATGTAGCACAAAACTGGCTGCCTGTGTGCTCCATGTGGCTAGATACCCTTGCAAATATAAAACTGACATCAAAAACTTTGGTTTTGCTTGCTACAATTTCTACTAGCACTAGGTGACAAGACAAAGACATGTTTGTTTTTCATTAAAAAAAAAAACCTCTAATATGAACATTGAGAGGGGAAAAGTGATTATTTCTAGATCTTGTTTTAAGAGGATTGTGAGAGAGCCCACTTGCTTTTCCTAGTTAGATACTAGCACTGGTCTTTAGTCTTTCTCTGTATATTATTCCTAGTTGCCTTAGAAAGGGGGAAGGTATTTTTAGGAGTCAAAGGGGGAAGGTATTTTTAGGAGTCAAAGTGATGAAAGCAGCATTCATTCAGATGGGTTGTTTCTAAACTGTTAATTTGTGGCCACAAGATTCCTTGAATTTATATATCAGAGCACAGCAAATGACACTGGTAGGAGAAATTCTCACTTAAAAGGTCATACACGAGATCAGAATTCACCGACACCAGTCTGATGTATCTGAAATCAGCTCCTGTGCTAACTTACCTATAGAATCAACATCAAAAGGCAGCACGAAACTTGCCAATTCCCCTACTTCTAAAGTGGAATGAGAAGTCACATCCACTCACAGAATCAGCAGGCTGACTCTCTAACAGCCCTCCATCCACATGACATTTTACAGTAGATGGTAAAATCAACTACTGACCCCTCTTAGAACACACAAGGTCCCAAAGAAGGTTTCCAAGTGAAGGAGTCTCACCCCACGGCCTTGCTCAGTTGCCCTGCCATGAAGCAACCCTGTATGCATCAATGGGGTATCGGTGTTTAGGAGTCACTTCAATTACATTAAAAATCTGACATAATGGCCCTCCCTGGTGGCGCAGCAGGTTAAAGCACAACACTAAGAAGCTTAAGCCACTTCTGCATGAGTTCGATCCCCGCCTGCCCCGGAGGTGACCCCATGGCGCGGCAGACCTCTCCTGACCCGCCCGCTGCTCCCCTCAGCAGTGTTCTTCATCGATCTCCCTGTTCTGCTCCCCGCTCTGTCTCTGGTGAAACCTCTCGCCACCCCGGAGCCTCTGGCCTGTACCCCAGTTCTGTATGAACAAATAAATAAAATCTTAAAAAAAAAAATCTAACATGATTGTCTTAACTTCCACTGTGCACCAAAAAGGGAGAAATGTGATTGGAGAGAAAATGTGCACGAAAGAGACCTGACCAGTTAACAGTTTTCCCTAGACAGAAATATTCATGTATATCTGAGAACATTTTTGCTGTTTTCTAAAGTGATTATTACATCTGTCAAGCAAACCACAGAGGCATTTTCACCGAGAACACAGCCTACAGAGCTTCTTGCTGTTCACTTAATGAAACATTTGATGTCATGGAGTGATTCTGGGCTGTGAGGTGTCAATGATAATCAGTCTGGTCACCCCAGTAAATGCCCTGGATAGTCAGAGTCCATTTAATCCCATATGCCCTTCTTCCTATGCTTGGTTCCTAGGAAGAAATGCAACCTTAACTAATTCCAAATTTTCTTCTCCAGGAGACAAAGTTCAGGCTTCCTGTAGTCCCCAAACAGAGTATTAAAAGGAAAGATAGGAGCTTTTCTCTTCTTTCTGTTGGTGCTGTATATAAATTTGCATCTTTTGAGTACCTGGAAAGGACACAACAAAATGATAGCAAGGTAATCTCAACCTTCCCTAACTCAGGGCATCTGTTCTGCCAATAAATACGGTCCTTTATGGAGAAGTTCAATGTGGAGCCAGGCACAGAGACAAGGGAAGGGTGAAGAAAGTTCACTTGCTTGCTAAGGAGACTGAGTTTATGCCAGGTTACGCCGAGAAGACAGCTTTTCAGAAATGTCCACATGTGACTGGTCAGCAGTCAAGACAAATCTCTTCACTTTCCACAAATGGGGCCAAGCGGCAGGTCTGAAGTTCTCCCCACACAAGCCACTCTCCTCTCCTTCTCATGCTCTGAAGTTTTCAAATGTGACCTTTTCAGTTCTGTTTGAATTCTATGAATATTACTAGCACAAAAGCTTTCTATGGCTGCCTAGTCTGTCTTATTTTCAACATTCAATTTGTTCCATAGACTAATAATTAAAAAAAACAAAAACATTCTCCATTATCTCCTAAGCTTTTTTAAATAAGAGCCACAACAGGGTTCACTACTAGTTCTAGACTGAAGACGCTCAATCCTGGCACATTAGAATTTCTGAAGATCCAAAATAAAGCATGGGAACCAGGTCCCACTCTAACGCTATGGAACCTAAGCCTTGAGGATCAGGCTCTTAATGTGCAGCCAGAACTAGGAAGCTCTGCACTTTGCTGAGCTGCATCTCTCCAATGCAAAACAATGCCTGTTACGTCTTGGGGTTACTCTCCCAGAGGAATACTGGATGTGCCATTACTCATCAGTTTCAATCTCATTTATGCCGAACTGACAGCAGATAGCCGGCCTGGAGTTAGTTGGTTTCTGGGCTTCATGGCACCTTACTTTCCTCCTTCAGGATACTGCTTCTAGCGGTGGAACCATGTGGACAACTGGACTCAATTCCCAGGACCCCTGGTAAGACCAGGGTTATTCTCCTCATCTTGCAAACAAAAATTAGGCTCACAGGTCAGGGACTGATGCAGATCCACTGAATAAAGATCAACCAAATAACTATACCCCTAACTAAATTTTGTTCTTGGAAAATCTCCATTGACGTATCACAATAAAATGTTTGCAGTAGACTAGAAAACCCTTCAGGGAAATCACAATGATCTATGGATTGTTCTAAGATTAGAATGGGAAGGTCAGGGGTTACTTTTTTTCCTCTGAGAGTAATTTCTTAGAGTAGCTGAAGGCTTCATAAAAGCCACATCAACAACAAGTGTTGAAGCTAATGAGGAGCGGGTGTGTACCACAAGGTTCCCTCTTTTTAAGATCATCAGCTTTTGTTTTTGTTTCCCCACTTTTCTCCAAAAGTAAGCAACGTAAAAGAGAAGCCAGGCTTTCTAAAGACCCAGCCTAACAGCCAACCAGCCCATCTCTCCATTGCTGCAAAAACACAAACAACCCCCCCCAACAAAACAAAAGCCTTTCCTTCTATGTTTATAGGCTCACTGCTAAGATAAGTTTATTGAGCAAAAACTCCCATGTCAGTCTTGGGTGCGAGCACACACACTCCCCTCCGACCTTCTGCTAAGCCTGGCAGCTGCCCTCTGCAGCCTGACCTCACAGCATTTGAGCCCTGGGCCAGAGGCATTTAAAGAAGCTGTTTCTCTGGCTATGAGGCATAGGTTTTCTTCAGTTTTTCACTCACCCAGGTAACCCTAAGACTTCACGAGGTTAAGGACACTGTTTAGCTTCTTCCCAACTTACAAACCCCGTGGGTGACTACACAATCAAAATAGATTTTAGTGTGGATGGAAAGGAAAGAGGGGAATAAAAATCATTCAGTTTATTATACCGAACCATATGAAACTGTCATTTCTGTTTAAGTAATTGAATATGAACAATTTCATACAACTCAACCTAAGGAGATTTTTTCTTGGCTTGCACCAATTATCAATTCAAAAACAAAGCACAAAGCAATGTATTATTTAAGAAGAACATGTGAGTTAAGATTAAATGGCTGTTTTCACTATGGGTGTGCTAGACTGAGCCACTATTTTGTCTGCCTTAAGAAGAAAAAAAAAAGTCCAGGATGTTATGAAAGCATTTTTAAGAAATTGGGGTTTCAAATATACTAGCACTGAAGCAGAGACATAGGGGGTACATCAAACTTTAGTTTCCAAGAGTTCTCTCCATAGATCTCCTACTGCCGGTGTGGGCAGGTAGAATATCTCACCCACAAAGAACCCAAACTAAACACTGAAATTTCATACACATTCATACAAGAAGCTGGTGCAATCAAGTCTACCTAGGTGCCAAGAAAATGCCCTCTCTCCATGGCATCCACGGTCAAGCCACGTGGATTCTGAGTCATATAGTAGACAGAACCTCCCGCTGGTCTTAGAGTGCTTTTCTTTCCACTGATTTGCTTCTGATTCCCTGTGTGGCCACCAACATCCCATCTATTATTGGCTCAGCATTTGGAATTCTTTCACTCTTGAGCATTTTTTCACTCTTCAGAATACTATCTTATGTTTTCATTGCAGTTAATTTTTTTTCAGTGAGATTTCATCCCTCTGAACACTAGCCCATTGCCTCTTCAGCTTCTTGCTGCATTCTCTTCCCCAGGTTGGGCATCATTTCTAAGCTCACAGTAGGTATCTCAGTCCTGCGGATCACTCCTCACACCCTTAGTCCACGTGGTAGCCTTCAGAGCATCATCGTCTGCTAAATGTTTCTCGTCCTCAGATTAACTTCAAACACAACAGTGTAACACTATTTTGCCTTTGGTTTTACATTTCAGTAACTTCTTCCTCCCAGAGAGTTCCAGAGAAAGAATGAGAATATTTCCCCCATGTCAAAACATTCCTGGATATATTTTCCAGTCTTCAGTCTAGAGAAAACACAGGAGCAAAAGAAAATGGGAGTCCCGACACGAGGTGGCAGCCATGCAGCCCTCACTGCTGGAGCTTCCACTCCAACACCTTTTCACCTTTTTTGGGATGGACGTTTGATCTCAACTGTCTTCCTTCGTGATCCTTGTAGCCTTCCCTCCTCTAACTTGCCACTGCACATGGCTGTGGGTGGACACGAAGCCTCTCCTGGGAGGAGGCCCCAGCACCTGCCACACCTTGGGCAGACACAGCAGGTGAGCGGATTAGGAGACCAGGAAAGCATGCTAGTTTGTTGGTTGGTTGGACTCTGAACAGCGCACTACTATGTGAAAAAGTGGGAGTAGGTCTGCATTTGACTTCATTGAGAGACACTTTAGCCCCACCCTCTGCATCTTGGGTTAACTTTGTTATGATTATTTTCAGACCCCAATAAAATAGACAGAAGCTTTAGTTCCATTCAGTCAATGCCCCTCCTCAGACAACACTGAACTTCCAGCCAACCTCCCTCCACCGGTGGGCCTACCCCCCCATTGCTTCAGGGCTTTTGGGGGGGGTAAATCATGCATTATCCTCCAGAGGGAACACTAGGCGGGTGCCCCGGCTTGAAACCTTCTGGTCTCCCATTCCCAGGTCTCGTTCCAGCACCTCCTCTGAGCTGCTCTTCGCTCTCCGGCTACCCTCCAGGCTCCTGGAGGCGGCGTGGGAGCCTGAGGAGCCATTTGCAGTCACTGTGCTGTCCCCATAGGTCAAGGTAAGGTCACCCTCTGTCAGGATGAAATCGGAGTCTTCTTCTCTCAGTGGCTCTTGGTTCTGAAAAAATGCAACAATGACAAAAAATGGGACACTGGTATCTTGCAGAACCACAGCCAACCCAACTTCACCCCCATCTGAAAAGTGAGGACTATGAATTTTCCTCCTAATTAGGTAACTGGATGAAAACTGAACCAGGACTTGGGACACCAGAATGTTCGTCTGCTGTGAGTGTCTGAGAGCTTGGGTTTGTGACAAGAGGGAAGAGTGCAGAGTTGCCTGGATTGTCAGCTTCTCAGCCCACAAAGCCAGACGGAGATGGTCACTGGGCAAACCTGCTAACAGGTTTCCAGCCCTCTCTTCTCTAGGGAGAACTTCTGGGAGGGGCTTCCTCAGATACCAACCATCATGAACCCAGCCGTGTTACATCTGAACTCATCACTGTCACCAGTACAGGAGAGAATACAAACACTATGAGGACTTTCTCCCCACCCCACAGGCCAACCCTGATGGAAAGCCCTCATGCAATTGAATCAAGTGATGGAAAGCAAGAATCACTGGTACTGAGCAGCTTATTCTACGCCTGCCAGGAATGTCACTGAGGATCTCGTTCAAAGCTAACCCCTTTCCTGTGAAGGGCATCAGCAATCCTGTCATGGAGAAGAAAATCTGAGCACAGAGAACCTATGAGATTGGTCCAAGGCTAGCCAGCTGGTAGGAAGCAGAGTTAGGATTTATGCTGCTGCAAGTCGGGTTTTACCCAGTGAAAAATCACCCCGTTGGGAAGAGGACTAACAAACGAACAGACATGGCTATACAAGGCCAGGTGGCTACCGCTTGAAACTACCAGAGGCCAGGGAGTGCGTCAGGAAGCAGGATCAGGCCAGACACAACCTTTCACCCTCATGTGGGTAGAGGGGAACAGGTCCACTTCCCTGTTGCCCCTCAATACCATGTACGCCAAACACTGAGTTTCTTTCTTAAACAGCAGAGAAGCAGCTTCGAAATTCTCCTGGTAAACTACTTCCTCCCCTGTGCCCTTCAAAGCTCTTCTAAGGTGCTGCACACAACGGGGCATCCTCCACCAGGATGCTGCAACTGCCTCCTGCCTTATGGCACCTGCTCAGTCACGCTGCCCCAGGGCACAGGCAGGTTGTTCCATCTGTGCCTGAACTCCTCATGTGGAGGAGAAACCGCCAAGGGGCAGTGGCTCCTTCTCATCCTAGCACCCTCCCTAGGGGTCTGAACTCAGAGTACGAATTAGATAACCGCCTGTCAAATGTGCCAACCGCATGTCTCCCGCCCCAGCCTAGCACTGCACTCGTACCGGTGACAAGCTTGTGCTTGCTGCCTGCATTGTTTCTCAGTGAGGTCAACCTCTCCCTCCACACCCCACGACGTGACGCCGCTTAGCCCGGGCTTCATTTTTTCTAACAGGCAAGTACTTAACTCCTCTTGCTGGCTGCCTCAAGTCCTCACGGGAGTGAGGCAGGATGCAAATGTGCTCCAACATAAAATCCCACTCTGCGGGCACAGTGTAATCCTCAAGCTCTCTCCAAATATCCATGTTGCCTCCTCTCCAGCAGCGTTCAGAAAATGCAGAAACTTACTCTGTTCTGTGATCGTTGTCTTAACGAATGACATCATGGTCTCCGTTTTAGCATGTTCCCTTTCTCTTGTCTGTACATGTGCTCAGCAATGCTTTTGCTCTTAACTCCCAACTCGTAAATATGTGTCCCGGCACATATTTACTGTTTCAAGATGACATAGATGTACAGAAAGGGATAGGGTAATTCTGCAAATGGACCCCCACCCCAGCCACACACACACACACACACACGAGCCCTGACTGCCTGCTCTGACCCCTCTCGGCGGGAAGTGAGCCAAAATTCACCAGCAGGCGAAAAAGGGCTGGATGTAGAGCCATTCCATTGTGCAATTCCCAAGTGCAGACAAACAGCACCCAAGGAAAGGTCATTTAGAAACATGCATAGTGTAAAACCCAGAGGGGTGGGACCTCCACACCAAAGCTGAATGAGTTATATGCAGCTGATCCACTCGCTCGAATTGCAGACAACAGCTTCAAACAGCAGTCTTGCTAAAGGTTTGTATAAACATGTACCGAGCTTCCCAGTGAAGGCTGCTTAAGAATGTGGCACAACAGCCGGCAAAGCAGCTTGTTGTGACAACACACACATTTTAAATAAGTAGAGCTCACATTCATAAGTGGTAAAGCACTGTGTTATATTTTTCAATTTAGAAATGTGTGCTGTTTAATCCACAAGCTTCCAGACAAGAGCTCTGAAAGCTATATGCACCAAATGGAAGAACAAGACAAAATTCTGGAGCCATGACATTTCATAACACAAAACTTTACAGAACCAAATGATCATTCCCACAACTAGTTAATTTCCTTTCAAACATACATAAACAAAACAGAATAAAATGAAATTCTGGTGTTCCACATCAACTTGTCACAAATTGGTAGGACCCACAGGGTCCTCACAAACATGCTTTCATTCTGTCTCTCCTAGAGCTCAAATCCTGACTCATTTCAGCAGACTCTCAGGCAACAGGAACAACTGTGGGAATAAAATATTCATTTCTATTCTTGTTATAGTTCAGCAATTCTTATTTTGGGGAAAGCCTACAAACCTTTCGAGGTCACAGGCATCTCTTAAATGAGCGCTAAGACTAAGACTTACCAGAGAAAGAAAAAACAAAGAAAAAGTTTCTGGAAACAGCCAGGAACATTTATAGAAATCATAAGAATGCCAACAATATTTAAACCCTTCTTTAAAAAAGAATTTTCTTTGGCTTAACATATTTCACTCTAAATGTATTTATAACAGCTGTCAATGAAAAAATGTAGCTGATAGTCCAAGGAGACTCTGGCAATGTGAATCCAAGCTCCCTTTTCTTTTTGTATTTTGTGAACTTCAAGCTACCAATCATTACAACAGATGCTATATAGTCAGAAGCTCAAACAGTTTTGAAATTAAATTCCATACAAAGCAAATAAAATTTACATTCTAGAAAACATTTCCACCTAAGACTGTGGGGACACTCAGCCTTCCTTCCCCAATGACCTTGAGGCCTTGTCAGCGGGGGCTTTTCTTAGTCATCAAGGTCATCTTCAGCTTCACTCTCAGCCTTAGCTTGGGCTCTGCCCCCCCGCCCCCCGGTCTTCCTGCTGACTTGGCCATGGGAGCCACGTGGCTGCAGGAGGTGAAGAGGTAAAGTAGCTACAGCCACAGCCTTTTCCTTCTTGGATTTTTTGTTTCTTTCCACATGCTTCTTAGCCCAAAGTCCTTGCCAACAATGGGCTTGGTGTGGAGATTTTAGCCTTTTTGATCAGTAGTGCCAGTGACCAGTTAGGGGAAGGTGACTAGACTGAGACTGGACAGGGGATGGAGGTACTGGGGTTATTTAGCTGACTCAGGAGGTCTTGAAACAGATTGGGAGGCTGAGACTCTCCTAACAGACTGAGGGCTTGATGGGGCAACTTTTTTTTTTTTTTTTGGTGTCTTTTTTGGGTTCTGGAATCTTGGAGATGGTCCTCACAGGCCTAGTACTTCCATATGGGGAATGCCTTCTTTAGGGTGATGATGATGCTCCCCTTCAAACAGTGGAGGGCTTGAGGAAGCTGAGGGGCTTGAAGCCATAATAAGGGTGAGAGCCATTTGTTTGGGTGTGGCGATTGGGTCTCCCCAGTAGATCAGCTTGGGGAAGACCCTTTCCTAAGCTTTGATAACAATGAAGGCAAATGTGTATTAGTGATGGGAGACCCAACACTTTGGTGGTGGAGATGGTGGTGGCTGACTGGCAGGGGGCATTCTTCTTTTTGCAGGTAGAGGAGGGTATCTTCTCTGCACTAGAGGAGGGTATCTGCATGGAGGAGTAAGTGTTGTCACGGGCAGAATGAGTTCCTCATCATGGGGGTGTGGGAGACCCCCATCATGGGGGAAGGGGTGGGGCAGCAGAACACTGCCTTGCAGTGGTGGGGGGTGGGCTCTCCTGGCTACTATGGTCGTGTGTGTGTGTGGGTGAGGGGAGTCTCTTTCTGGTCCCGTCACAGTGATAGAGAGGTACTCCAGGAAGGGGAATGTCTTGGGCACCTGTCTACCTGATCATTCGTCACATGGCACCTCTCCGCATGCTTATTTTCTAAGAAAGAGGAAGCAGAATCAGACGATTCTGTCCTTTGTATTGGTGATTCTGTGTACAAAATTTGCTGCAGCCATTTTGCCACTTCTATCTTATTACAATCAGATACCAATTCTCTACGCTTGGGTTCTGGTGAAGGGGACATGTTTTTCTCTGTATTTTTGTCACTTTACCCAAAGTTCTCCCTGGACAGACAGAAATACAACTTTTGTAGAGTTTGACTACTTGTATAGCTTGGGGAATGATGAGTTTTGGGTGGCAGAGATAACCTAGGAGTGTTCTGAGGGGGGCACTGGATGTCTTTTTAGAAAAGACTTCTTTGGTGGTGGCCAGAATGAGATGAAGGGGTGAAGAGCTAGTCCCTTGGTGGAGGTCTAGGAGATGGCTGCCTTCTTAGGCTTAGCCACCTTCTAGGTGGTATGATCTTTTTTTTAAATTAAGTATATTCATTTAAATATATATTTTTTGCATCAGTTTTCACTTTTGAACAATGTTGAATTTCTCCTCTCAGGTGTTATCCCCATAAAATTCCCACCATGAAGTCACCTGTGAACTGTTAGTTGGGTACAACACTGACTGGGATCTCACACACCATCCAGGTTGAGTATGAGGAGAGTGAGAATGTGACTGAGATTTTGGTCTTCTCCTTTTCTTTCTTATTTTTTTAACATTGGCTAAAACTTTTTATTTTAAAGTGTATAATTGTACATTCATTCACTCAACTTTTTTTTTTTCCTTTTTTGAAATTTTTCTCCATAGAAGGTCCTTTAGGCTTTGATCTGGGCTCAGGCCTAGGAACTTTCAGGATGATACTAACAGAAGTGGCTTCTTATACTGATGACATTCCTTTTACTTTCACAGATGGGCCTGGGAATTCTGGAATTTTTTCCTTTTTTTTTTTCTGGAACAGGGAAAGGAGGCCAGCTCTTGGTTCTGTGGTGGCAAGATTGAGAATGACTGTGCTTTCTCTTTCCCCTGACAGGGGAAGATTATCTTTTAGGGGAAGGAGACCTGGATTTGCATCTTCTTGGGCTTTGAGACCTCTCCGTTTTTACTCTGCTGCTTTTTCTTCTACTTATTATTTATTTATGCACAGAAGAACTGAGGTACAGTTCAGAGGTGTGGGGGTTGAAAGGATTCACCAGAGACAGAATGGGGAGCAGAAAATGTGAATCTACTGAAATACACTGCTGAGGGGAGCAGCCGGAGAGACAGGAAAGGTGCTGCGCTATGTGGGTCAGCTCCCCGTCATGACAGATTTTCTTGTTCAGTCTGTCTCTTTACTTCTTCCTTCTTCACTTCTAGGAAAGCAGAAGGGATTCCAAGTTTTCCTGTGCACACAAGAGCAGGGGTCTCAGCTTTCCTATAAATTCTCCAATATTTTTCAAAAACCCAGTCAGGTTGCTATCATCATTTTAGGGTCTGGATTCTTCATTTCCAGCTGGTGGAATATAAGCTCAACCATATCATCTCAAAACCCAAGTATCTCTGTCACTCCTTTTGTTATCCAAAGCTTTATAACCTCCAAATTTATTCTTGTTGTGTCTACCTTTTTCCCCCTAGACATTCTGCAAATTTCAGCTACTTCCATAGCTTCTTCTGCTTGTTTTGCTAAACCAATTATCCTGTTCTATACTTATTCAGTGGGAGAATCCCATATCCATCTTGCTGTCTGGAGATCCCCCCCAACCCCGCAAGAACACTTATGTAGGTGAATATCACACTTAGGTGATTTAGAGTCAATGGAAACGATGAACAGCAAACACCTTAGCTATCTTCCAAACAAACATGGTGAAATACAAAACTCCCCAAAACTCCTGTCAATAGCCGTGAGCTGTCCAGCTTAAACCTCACCAGGCAGGCACTAAGTTTCAAAGGGAGTCCACATGGTCTCACTTTTGGGATTCCCAACTAACTTTTCAGAGGCTCTTTCCTCTCACTCCCTTGTCAGCAAGCCTTCCCTTGTCAGGAGCCGGCCGAGATGCTGGTCAGGAACTTTACAGCAGACTAGAGAGCGATCCTTGCCTGTAGCCCATGTCTTACCTATTAGTATAGTCCTACCCATTTTCTTTTTTGGAACTGAATATCAATCATCAGAGGTGGCACAGGAATTTGATTTTTATATGGCAAGGGGTTGAGGAAGCTGGAGAGCTCAATTGTCTTTAAGAGAAGATGAGACTGATGCCATTCTCTGTCACATCTGGTGGGAGTCCAAAGAGAAGGCCATGGCAGAACTGCAGTTTTGCCAGACAGAACCTGTTCTCTGAGGGAAGTAATTGCCACAGCCACTGGGTTCACAGGTGTAAAGTCTTGTCCCTGCCCGATAGCTTTGCCCTGAGGAGCCAAAGCGGTACCTGAGGTGTGTGGGGTGCCACACAGCACCTACTCTGTGCAGTCGTGGGGCAGTGGAAGTGCTGACTGGGCAGACGTGATGCTCGTTTTGGAGGCGTGCTCTGCTGATTAAGAGGCTGTACCCTCAGGTCTTCGGGTTCTCATGTGGCTGCCCCTTAGCTCTCCAGACAGCCCAGTCCCTTCCCCCTCTAATGTGGCTAAGTTTCCATCCACATCTGCTTCCCTTCAGCACCCCCAGATGCCAACTGCCATCTCAAGCCTGCTGCCTGCTGCGTTACAACTTACCTGCTTAGGGCCCTTCCTCCTGCTTTCTCACCACTGGCCAAGTCAACTTAGGCTTATTTATTAATTATTTGAAGCATGCATTTGGACTTCAGGTTTGCCAATTACATTCCGGGAGTGTGGCCCTTCCCTCCTCTGGAACACTGTAATGTCTGTTTATTCACAACGTGGCCAACAGAATACTGAGCCTGTATGAGCTGTAATGTTCTATACACAAACTTAGGGCCTTTCTCGTAGGGCTGTAGTAATGATGGTTAGAAGAGTGGCGGGGGCAGGGGGATAAAGATGGGCCTTCCCCCTCTCCTCCAGACTGTCCTTCCATGTTTAAGCTACTTGCGCTCTCCACTTCTCTGCCTGGCAACCTATGTAGAGAGCTCAAAATCTAAGCCTGAAATCTACAGTATCTACCAGCATGGGCATTCTTTTCATAGTGTGCTGAGACTGTTTCTAGAGGAAAAATGGGGAAAAAGACCTAACCACATCAACATAAACAAACATGAAGAATCCTTACATTTGTGAGATGCTTTATAGTCCATAATGTATCTTTACTTCTCTGGAGGCCTATTTTGCAGATAAGAAAATAGGCAGAGCACACTTACACGGCCTGCCTTGATTCCACTATTCTTTCTACTATACCTCAGCTGCTGCTATTGGAAAGCCCCCAGAACCCTGGTAAAGCTTTGTTACTGAGAAAAATATGTAAGCATATGTGTGTCAGCCACTTCTAATCATCTTAGTAGAGAAATAAAATCTTTTGAGTTTCATAGGCTTCCTCTCCCCAGGTATGAAGCCTCCCTGGATGGGGAGCAGAACGGCAGCCAATGTGCTATACTTACATCGTACACCTGAGGGCTGGTGAGACACCGGGCCAGCAAGCCACACCAGGCCGGGAGAGTGGTGGTTAATGGGGGGCCGCTGTGTGTGAGGATGGGCTTCAAGTAACTTTGAAAAGAGAATTAAGGAAAGATGTCTGAAAAGAGAACACACACCTAACAAAATGTGTTTAGCAATCCCAACGAGTAAATCTGACGTTCTACCACAAAAAGCTTCTTTCTCCCCCTAATTTGAACAACACAATACAGAAAACGCTGGTAATATGAAATAGTCCAAATCAAAGATGAAGTTGTATCCCCAAAGGCCTTAAATGTCAACTGTTAGCGCTCAAATTTATTCCAATGTTCACTTAAAAAGGAATATTTGATTAATGAGAACACCTTTCTCTCTATTTTGTTATGCTAAGGGAGAATTTTGGTTCCAATCAGCATTCCAGCTTTTGACACACAACCAGTTCATGTCTTGCAAACAAAAGTGAGGATTGTGCAGCCCTTGCCCCTCTGCTCCAGTTCCCTCTAAGCATTTCTGCTCAACAATTCTACCCAAAAGTCATGCAGTGGAAATGTGTGAGGTGGACAGGACCTTAGGTAACCACGGGCTACTACAAAGGGGGGAAATGAGCTGTGGTAAGGCAAAGCACTTTTCCTGAGGCCTGCTTCCTCTCTCCCAGGCCCTCAAGCAGAGTTTCTCATCTTAACAGTATTAACATTTTGGGTCAGATCATTTATGCGTGCGCATAAGCACATGTTTTCTGTCCACTGGGGGATGTCTAGTAGCTGCAACCCTGTCCTATCCCCTCTGGAAGCCAGTAGCATCCCCAAACACTTCCCAGGATGTGGCAACAAAAACGCCTCCAGATATCGTCAAATTTCCCCTAAGAAACAAACTTGTCCTTAGTTAAGACCACTGCTGAAACATGAAGGCCCAGTGCTATGTGGAAAGCCCAGGGTGTTCGTCTGTGGATATCTGCGCTGCCAAATGCACAACCCTACTTTGGGGACACTGTGAAGCACATGCCTCACTCTGGTTCCTGATACCCACAGCCGAGGCAATGTGGAAAAGGTAGGGACTCACAGCGCCACCTCGAATGCAGGAATGGCCAGGAGACGCTGAGGCAGTTCCGTGATTCCCTGTACGCGAGAGGGTAACTGCTCTGAGCACATGGTCTCCTGCCATCGCTTAGAGCAGCACACAAGAGAAGCAGCTGGAGGTAGGAGATGGAGGGAGACCCGGGGTATATTTCTAGCTGCAAAGGAGGGGTGCAGCTTCCACTGTTGCTCCTTACAATCCGAAAAGTCCCTTTGACGGCTGTCCTCTAGCTGTCTTCCTGGAGAGGCCTGCACAGGCCTATGTTATCCTGTGTCTTAGCTCAGAAATGACAGCAAGGGATTTGGAGAATGACTAAGAGCACAGTCACAGGGGAACCCAGAAGCTCCCTTTCAGTTCCCTGCCTCTGGCAGTTCAAACAAAAAGCACCCTCTTCCCCAAATACAAAAGGCCCTCTCACAGCTTCTTTAAAAAAAGAAAAACAATTATACATTTACATTCTTAAATATTCAGATTGCTAGAGGGAAAAGTTGAATATTTCGCCTCTCTTTCACCCAGCTGTTCTGTAATTACCTTTACATCTTACAGAATATATTACTCCCTCCTCTTTCTTGGTTTATAAACTTAAGAGAGGGACTTTTAGCTATCTACCACAAGGCATGGAAAATTTAATTCATTTAAATTCCTGACTCTTCTTTCTAAATTTTTGCCTTTCCAAATCTCATTATATTTCATAATGTATATATATATATATATAT